TGAGGCATCAGGGACTACAAGGATTCCCCAAACTACGCCTACCACGTTCCCCAACTTTAAACATCCACCCGCGCCCGAAAGGCCCTTTTCTATTATTCAACTTCTTTGCAATAGTGAGATCCCGATCAGAAAGAAAAGATGAATGCTGAGTGCTGCTGTGAAGTTCTGACACAAAGGGGCCTCCAACCCCCCTCTCCCCCACTTCCTCCCCCCCATCCCCTCCCACTTCTCCCCCCACCCAGCCCTGCTCTGTTATCTCTGAGCATTACCACGCGTGCAAAACTGCCATAGGAATGTCAGGCGGTCCTTGTGGGAAAGAAAAGGGAATTTTAAATGATTTTATTTTAAAATGCAGGTGAAAAAAAGTATATATTTTTAAAGATTCTTTATTGATGTCTGATGCTCCGATGTGATGCTGCCACGTTGGAGCAGGTAGAGACACCAGGTAGGTTTACTCCTCCCCAAGGAGGTCACGGTTCACACAGAACATCTCACAAAGAATCTCTTTTTTTAGCATAAAAGTTGACGTTTGTATCGACTCGTTCAACTCCAGGAGCCTTTACTCGTTACCTCCGTAACTCATTACCTCGGTTGGGTTTAACCACATGAACACTTCATTCTGGAGGCAGCAGCGGCTCGGATTTATCCTTCAGACCCCCCCCCCCAACCCCCCCATCGTTAAGATTAAAGTCTCTTGCAGTTTTTTTTGTGTCATCCTGTTGGGTTATTTCTCTCTGCGCCGTTTCACTTCACAGCGGATCCTCATCTCCGCCTCGACGGAGTTCACATCACCGATTCTTATTGAAGGGGAAATGGCGCAGCCGCTGCTGAGCGAGGTCGTTATTTGGATAATGACTAATCTGCTCCCCGACTTAATTCCATTCCTCTGATCCGACGGGCAGGTTGGAGTCAGAGGATGTGGCTAATGATGTGGCCGCGGCGTCGTCTGGGAATGCAGAGAACACACACACACACACACACACACACAGAAGATACTGGCAGACATTCTGTAAGCACTTACACTCCCCAGTTGTGTTTAATGTCACTGAAACACACATTTGACTTTGGCCCTGTGCACATTCACGGACCCCCCCGGACCCTCTATGGATAAGCAGTGCAGAGGATGACTGACTGACATCCGCGCTGTCTTTAAATATTCCGTATATGCATCCCAGGGCTTCACTTTTGGTGAAATATTCAAACAAGACATATTTTTTATGGCCACTTCTATTCATCAAATGGAGAAAATTGACTGTAGATGTGTTTCTAATGTCTTATGCACATCTTGTTTTTAGAGATGACATATTCCACGTCTATGGAAACCTCCGGATTCAGGCCGGATCTTAAAGATTGGTTTAGAAAAATTTCTTATTTTTATTATTGATTGAGGACATGCTGCAGTTACTTTGTCGTCTTCCTGTATGTTTGTACTTTGCTTTGAAATATTCTGTTTAAGCACGGCATTCGTGACGCTAATCGCTAACACGGCGGTTTCATCTCAGCAAATCTCAGCAAATGTTTGCAGCCGAAGTAAGCAGCTGTTTCAAACCAAACAACAAAGTTCAGCTCGACACACT